AAGAACCCTTTTCCAAGAATTCGTCGAATTCATCCTACAGGGCAATAAAAACGATTTAGAGAGTCTGCAATCTCAATACTTCATATCCTCATCCTGGGTACTAGCTGAGGAAACGAAGGATTGATCTCGTGGATACTCCATAGAACATTGCGGTTGGACCTTTTCCTGTATTGTGCAATTTTGCACATCCAGGGGAAGATCACCTCCAAAAGTGTACTGTCTCCTGCCTGTACATGATACAGTACTGTATTATGCATGGGTAGAGGGTAAAAAGCAGTACAGGCTTCGTCCTGTTGATGAGAATGTCTGAGTAGAGAGGTAAAGTATATGGTACGAAAGGATGAAATATATAATTCAATATTGGTGGAATATCGGTCCAGTTCAGGACCAGTGAAGCCTACGCTTTTCCGTAATGCCAATATAGGCCCAGATTAGGTGCCCGTGAAGCAACGTTTTTAATCAACATTGCAGCAACATAAATCCTGAAACGTATCTGCAACGTATATGTAATGAATAAGTATCGATTTGCAACGTAAATGCAATGTTCCTTCGCAACATTTGAGGGACGTTGACGTTTTGGACATTTACACATAGATGCAACATTGTTCATCAACATTTCCTAAACGTTGCTGGAATATCTTGTGTTACTTGGGTAGCCCTATCGACCATTTTCACTCATTTAAATCTAAAAAAGTATAGAAATAAACTAATGGGCGTAGCAGGTATTTTTAGATCATGATGTAGTTCTTTGGTGCACATGTTCAAATGGCAGTGCGACTTATGAGCAATTTCTGAAACATCTCGGATACAAATCCGTTGCAGGCCTATTTGAAAATATTCGATATTAAAATGCCATACAATAGCGTTACATATCAACAGTGCGTTAAAACCCGTGCATTTTTTAAAAATTTGATCAAGCAATGCAAACAAAACTGGCATTGGTTTTATTAATATCTTTAAAAAGGAAAGGAGGGTGCTAGTTTCTTCAAACTCCCAAGCGTAAATATCCTGTAAACGTAGTAGGAAGAACATGTTTTCCCCATGATATATGTTTGAAACACCTTATAGTCCCTTCCGGTATGTTTTTCATTCATGGGTATTTTCTCCATTCAACCAGGATTGTCATCATAATTGGGACCCAGGGAGAGGAAATTCCAAACAAATGTAATATAAGTCCAGCCTTCCTCCTACTTCCATAAAGATGCTATCTGCCTTCACTTTCCTCTTCGTCTCTCTCCATTCCATGATGTCCGGGATAACCAAGGCAGCATGCCCTGCCCAAGACATTCTACCATGTAGGTGCTACACTGGTCTTAATGACGATTATTATGCTCTCACAGTGGAAGTGGATTGCTCTAAGGCAACATCGAGTGAGGAGATTTCGTCGGCATTAAAAAATGCATCATGGCCTTCCGCACAAATCTGGTAAGACAGTTCTTTCATAATATGAAAGCCTCAGTTTCCTTCAGACAATGCATAGGTCGCTACCACATCTTACAAAAAGGCGTCAGGTTTCTTCTTTTCCCACACCCCACATAATATGTCAAGAAAGGAAACGTAGTTTTCTATTAATACATTCAAATTACCCAAGCTTTTGTGATTACTTGCGAGGCCTATCTCCCTTGCTCTTTCGTATTCTTGGACCTGTGATGTAGAACTTTATTTTGGAGTTTTCGTTTTCTTTCCGTATAGGAGAAGTCTTTATTGCTCAGAAATTAGGAACAACTGTGAAAGCTTGAATTTCTTTAAATCACACAGCATCCCCAATGCTATACGTGCAACTAGGTGGAACATCAAGAATAAAGTACATATCTAAAATCAGGGCTGAAGAATATGAGAGATACATTTGTTGTATCTCATATTTTTCAATTTTAATGGAAACACTCAACACTTAGTAGGGCAATGTTGGGAAAACCTAGGAAAACATCATCACTGGTTAAGAGCCAACCTTTTCCAAGCTGAACATTTAGAAAACGTTTGCAACCACTTGTTATCATACCACCCGTGGGAGAGGAATCAGGAACGTGAAAGTAATGATGTATTGAAAAGTGAATAATTTAGTAGACTTTACCCCGTGCAGTCCTAGAAAGGACCAGGCAGCATGACCTTAACCGGATGCCATTTTCATAACCTCTCAAAGCTTGTCACAGCCCAAAACGACACTGAACTGAGTGGACCACATATAAAGGACCACAATGGGGGACTTGGAAGCCAAACGTTTCGCAATATGACTCGATCTCTTTAGGATTCTTGAGTACATCTCTCGGCACTCTCATGTTCTATAATAATTATCTGTAGTCATATCACCCTCATACCAGACCCTCCCTATATATATTCAAGGAGAAAGTAGTTGTTTATACGTGTAATGATGAGAAAACGCTCTATCTTTTTCTACAGGGGCTCTTTTTCCCTTGTGAGAATTACGTATTGCGTGGTCTCTTCTAGCAGGATATCATTTTTGCAGGAATATCCCAAATGTGCCATCTTTTGCCTATTTTCTTTTCATCATCAATATAAGAAATCACCACGGCTGATATTGAATCTAATCCGTCGCAACCAATATCGACCTTCTTAGTCCAAGTCGGATATCTATAATATTTTGGTTCAGACACATCAGTTAATATTTTTGGTACCTTATATCTGCTCTGCAGTTTTTAGAGCGACTTAGTAGTCGTAACGTTCCCTTACATACTTGTTTTAGTATTTGACCGAAAAATGTTGGAGTTCACCGCTGGAATTTCGCTGCGACATATGGATTATATTGACGTTCCATTAACATCGTCCCAACTGAGGTTCAACTGCTAGAAATATCATAATCGGACTTTAAAAAAAAATGGTATTCCATCCCAATCAGAAAAACCAAAATTCCTTTGAAATGGTAAATTTAAAATGTAATTAATTCATTTCATGACAACCAGGCAGAGGTCCCTCTGGCAGGTGGATTTACGTCAAGTTGAAAAATTTGCCTGGTTCCAAATCCGCTTTTGCTGGCGAACGTTTCTAAAGGAGAATATACACTCATAGGGCAAATCCTACGCTTCAAGAATTAGAAGAGAATTCCCTATCTGAACAGAAACATGAAAAATTTGCGATTATGAGCCATAAGGAAATATTAGGTGCACATTCGTGAGTTATGCCGCACATTAAAATCTAATCACTTTTAAGTACTCACCGCAGGTAACCTTTCAACTTATCAGTCTTAGAAGAAGGTAAAAATCACCTTGTGAATTGCGAAAAATCCAAAAATTCTCATTTTTGGCAAAATAGGGTTCCATTACTTGGACATGCGACAGAGATTCCTCTTACAGAACCGACCCAAACGAGAAATCAACATGGGGTATATTTATCAACAGGACGGAACTTCCGCTGATGACGCTGGGGAAAATGGGGACGAGTTAATAAGTGATTTTCGTATGAGTGGAGTTAAGGAAAAGGCCACATTGGCCATTCAACATGCTGCCCAGAACTTTATGGATTCGAAGATTCTTCATGACAACTCTTAAGATAGACATTAATAAAAGCAAAGCAATATCCCTCCAGGACATGGTGGTCATGAGAGAAATGCAAGCTTAAGTCTGCAATGAATGTCTGCTTCTGTTATTTGTGGTGGATTAACGTTATGGGAGGCTATGTTGAGGAGAATTGTATTGAAAAGGTTGAAAATGGATCGGTCTTCAGAATAAAAGGCATTCCTTAGGTTTCAATCCTTTGCTTTAGAGTTTCTTCAGATGTTAGCGGTTCTGGAGTTTCTGCGACAATTTTTCAGCTAAGAAATGTCCAACGTTGTTCTTTTATTTTTTTTTAATAACCAGATAATGTACCTATGGTTGAACGTATTTGTGCATGACGATGCTTTCAGGCTCAATATCAATCCATTTTCATTTAACGCCCTTTTCATTTACCGAACGAAAAAGCTATGTATGTGCATCGAACGCAGTTTCTCTCTGCCTTTTGGATGACTCTCAAACGTTAGAAACGTATATATCCTGAGAGGGTGGTTAGAATGCCCAGACAGTCAGTAAGTCTCTTTTAGGAATACCGATTAGCGATTGACGCTTTCATTTTTATGGATAGGAACGATTAAATTAAATTTCAGGAACCCTGAAACTGACGGGCAGTGACTTGGAATTGTGTTTATATTGAGCTTTTTGCAGGTATTATTGCAAACGATAATGATTATATAAATCATATTTCATTTCACTTGAAATCATTAATTTGTTCTGAAAATTAGATTTCTACTGCGATTACTTGGATATATTACCATTTAAATCGCCAAAATACCCAGACATGCTAAAAAAGTATTTACTCTCATACTAACCCTAGCACAAGGGATTGACCCTTGTGCATGGGCAGTTATTGTGCAATGACGTCGAGACTAAAACCCATAGGATATGACACGAATAACCTTAGCATAAAAATATCGGATTGAGAAATGTCAAGGTATTCTCCATGTTGAACGTATTTTGCCATATATACATTATTTTAACCGATTCATTTGCTAAACTGACAGCTAACATAAGATTTCGACTCTAATATTGAGCGCAATATATGCTTAATATTGGAAAGCCCAACATTTCCCGATGTTCGCCAATGATTAAAAAGAGACTAACTTACCTTGGGTATTCCTGTAACCAACATTATTGTTACTGTTCTTGACTCAGACTAAGAGGGTATTCCAGAATTCCATTCCTAGTTCCAACATGTCAGAACCGGCAAGATATAAAGATCCTAAGTACTTTTATAGCTTGCAAATGTAGAATTTGGAAGAATAAAGTGCCAATATGGAAAATAAAGTAAGCCACAGGTATTTTTCCAATAACAAAATGACGGCGACTTGAAACAACTGAGTTCAGGTTAGAATGACAAGCGCACTTATTGCCGAAGTAATAATTTCACTTCTGGAAATGGTTGAATATGAAATGTCGGAGTGCTACAAATACAAGCTGATGCAACGACAGAAAACGATATATGAATGAGTTTTGAGAATAGGAGTTCACTTTTTGTACGTTTGGGAAAACGAGACCTAAATTTCCATTTTCTGGGGAGGAGACGAACATCCATTTTCTAGGAAATGTTTCTGTTCAATGCTGTCCCAATATCCAAGTGTTATACCGAGCACATCTTGAAGCACTCACCGTATTTTATTTTCATGGAAAAATGGAGAAACAGACTAAATGCAAGCCAACATAATATCTGATAATAATCTAATACCATCTCCATTTAGCGTTGCGATATTTGACAAGGATAGCCATGACAACTTGGAGCCAATTTATCAATAAATAACTGATCCAGGGCCGAGATCGAACTGATCTAGTTGGGATTATTTGCAAGTGAATCGATTGATGGCTTAACATTTCCTAAACGTGATATAGTTAAAATTAATGGCATGAAGAGATCAATGTCTGAAATTCAATTATGACATTTAGTTAACTCTTATGCTACGTTGATTAGCGCTCCACAAGTCGAATATATGACGGTCACAGTTGGAACGATTTTCTTGTATTCTCTCACTCTGTAGGCAATTCAAGCTGGAGCGTAACATACAGATTACAGAGCTCTCTGAAGAAGTCCTCGGGAACATCTCTCTCCAGATCATGACGGTGAATAATACCGTCGTGAAGAGAATCCATCCGTCTGTCATTGCCCCGTCAGAAGACCGGCTTGTGAGTCTTAACATTGAGAACAGTCTACTGAACGATTTTCCCTTCCATATACTTTCAAGATTTCCCCGCCTAAAAAGTATGTGGTTCCGAAACAATTCCTTGACTTCAATTCCTGGTCTCAAGAGCGAAAGCCTTCAATTGTTGAGCATCTCACGGAATGATTTGTCCCGAGTGGATGAAAATGGATGGGAAACTCCTAACTTGACGTTTCTTGACATGGGTGAGTATTAGGTGCAGTGTGACTGTTCCCGAATTATTTATATTCTTGGAGTTATCTGTGTCGAATCATTACCGATTGAACACATCAATTGGATGATTTACGGAAGTCATCATCGGGGAAGGGGGATTTTCTACCCAGGACTGATATTGCGAATCTTGTTCCCGTCATCCCATAAAAGTACTTAAATCCTGGAATCAGCTTAGAGAAGTCGTATCATTGTTATCAATAGCTTCTTCAGGATGCGCATTGAGTCTGATGTGGAATGTGTGATTCAGCTTAAGACTCATGGCGTTGACTTGGTATTCGTTATATGAAAGGTTCATAATTTCGGGGAAAATTTAAATTTGTGAGAACTAATAATGCAATTCAGTCAGCGTTTCTCTTCCCCTTCCTGTGAGTCTCAGGCCGTCAATGGCAAGGTGGGTCCAGTCGATGGGCGCAACGTCTATTTTTCGTGACTGAATTTCAATAAGTTTTCTAAGCACCGTTTGAGATATTTCAAGTTTGAACAAAAAGTTTTGTTGCTAAGTTTTTCTTCTTTCCATTACATGTAACCAGCAACAACTTCCTTCAAAACTTCACAACTAAAATGCGCATTGAAAAATGTGGCCATTTTGGGCCAAGCTGTAAGAAACAACAGCAGGAGAAGAGGCCGTCCGTTTCAACGCATCCGCTGAAATAGTTGAATAGACGGCCTGAAATTACATCCTCTTGGCTTACCTAATCGTCGTTTCGACTGTCTCATGTCAGCTTGTCTGTCAATTGGTGTGCTTTATGTCCAACATGACTCCACTTAGACGGCACTTGTTGGGTATTAATAGTATACTAGTGTTTCTAACGAATTTACATGGGATGAAATGGTACTTTATTGGCAGTTCCAGGAAATATAGTCAGCGGATGGATTAAGTAAGACGGCACCGAACTGGTCATGCAACTGAGTTCGTGAAAACGCCCACAGGAAAAGGATTATGTAAAAACCCATCGTTTATTACCATAGTATATATGTTGTCTATGTTACCATATATGATTAACAAGCTACGGGACCGGAAAGTTGCAAGGAAATCGTTGGCAATGTTTTTTTTTTTGTCTGCAAATTTGAGTAGCTGTACCGACGTCCGTGAGCACCTCTGACATCCTTCGACCTTTTCCTCCATGAATTCCAATGGATTTTGTTAAAGCTGTTTGACCAATTGCCGCGTACTGTTATTTCTAATCTGTTTTTATCCCTTCTAGGTTACAACCCACTTCCGAAGTTCCCATCTTCTGTGATCAAGAGCTTATCGAAACTGCAGACATTTTTGTGTCCAAATTGTAATCTAGGACCCACCCTTACCAAGGGGATGTTAGAATTCCACAGCAAGACTTTGGGCACCGTATCCCTTTGGAATAATGGCATCTCAATAATGGAGTCAGAAGCCATCACAGGTATATCTCTCGTTTAACCACGGAAGTCCTACTCTTGGCATGGCAGAATCTAAGATTCCTCGGTGATTTAAGGGAGACATTTCAATCCGGGTATTGACAGATATAAAATTACAACATGCACCCATATATTAAGCATGATGTGGGGTAAAGACTGTACTTGACATTTTCATTTTCTCCGCTGAAGATTATGTCCTAAATATTTCACTTCTGCAATTAACATTCACTTCGCGTTTGGCATGACCCAGTCGGTGATATTCTAGATTCTACTGTCCTTGCATCATGGATTCATCTTTAGTGATGAATGAATTATTATAACTCCCTTCGATCATATTTTCTTGGCTTTTGAGTGAAGTTCTAGCATGTATAGGCGTCTTGCAAGCGAATAAAGTGACTAATATTCTATATCAAATTCAGGGGTCACGGCAGGCACGACTATTTTCCTAAGTGGGAATAACATATCTACCTTGGAAGAGGAGATCTTCCGTCCCATCCTTGAGGTCATTTCAAAGGGACGTGGATTCCTTTATATTCACTGTGAGTTTCCTTGCACAATAGAAAAATTCGCAACCTCCAATGTCCATCTTCTGTAAGTTCACTTTCCTGTTTGTTCTTCTTCCTTTCCGACTTCAGACAATCCCATCCAGTGCGATTGCAGTTTGGCCTGGCTGGCATTGCGTCCAGAGCTACTGAGAAAAGTCCAGGGGAGATGTGCTAGTGGGTTAGAGTTCAATGATTTGAATTTGGTGGATTCACTAAGAAAATGTGACCAATGTCCTCACACGTGTATTAGTGCCCAACATGCGTCGCTCTGTAAACCAGATACTGTGATTCCTTCAAACATGACCAAGTGCCACTCCAAGGAATTATGTTGTGTAATGAAAAACATAAGGCCATTCACCAAGCCAGAATGCCCTACCCAAAATATTCATCCGTGTAGATGTGACAAGAGCTTTCGGAACAACCTTAACCATGCCAAGTTACATCTGGATTGCTCGAATGCAACATCTAGTGAACAGATTTCGTCGGCTTTGAAAAATGCGGCTTGGCCATCCCCTCAAATATGGTAGGCTAATTCTATCCTCACTAGCTGTCTGCGACCGCTACGCTGGCCGTCTAATAGGCGGAAATGTGTAAATGTTTGCATAAAGGCATGAAGCAGTTCGGTTCAAAGCAAACTTTTAAAATGTTCAAACAAATATCGAAAAGTTCGAAAGTTGTGCCACCCAGCATAATGATTTTCATAGAGAACCCCACCTCCAAATAAAAATGCAGATAAGATGCCACAGTCTATGACAGAACCTTTTAGACCTGGTGCTTTAGGCCGCGGATGACCTACCCTATGCCCTAGGAACATAAACATAAACGCTAGGAACAGCGTTTATAGCATTCATAGAGAATTTAATCTTCAGGATTCACGAGTTAGAAATTATCTTAGTGAGCTTCAGGTTTCGCTCACTCCTCTCCAGCACAACTTTTTCTTAACAAAATATGTATGACTTGTTCAGATTCTGTAAAATAATCCACTTCCCTGAACTTCGTTTGAGTTTTACCGGATGTAGATCCATTGGAATAATTCATTATGATGTAGCCATTGGTGACTTCATTTGCACTTGCATACAAGGTACATACAATGTAGGTGGGGAATTTTAGGTCCACTTTTGTACTTGCCTTTTATCCCAATATAAATCTTCAACATTGGATTAAGGAATATTTGGACTAAAATCTGTTTATGCAACAGTATTGTGCCTTAAACTCCTTTGTGACGCCTATAGTTAGGAGTGTGCTAAACTCTTCTGACTTTAGTTAAAGAAAATTCTCACGCAAACCTGGTCTGGCTGATGCCAGCCTGCTTATACTTTGCTAAGGCAAGACGCATTATCGAACTAAGAGCTATTTCTCTCCGCATGTGTAAACATATGTTTTAAAGTACCTCCAACTTAATTAGTTTCCGTTATTCGTACATTTTTGCTTCTTTAGTGACATGATCACCGGTATAATTTATAATCTGCTGTTTTTCGACATTGCAGGCAATTCGAACTGTCGAATAGCATGGATATTACGGAACTCTCCGATGACGTTTTCGGGGATCTCTCCTTCCAGGTCATCATGGTCGGCAACACCGCCGTGAAGAGGATCCATCCCTCGGTCATCCTATCTTCCGAAGACAGGCTTGTCAACTTTACCATTCGTAACAGTCCCCTGGAGGAATTTCCTTTCTACCTTCTTCCGAGATTCCCCCGCCTTAAAATACTCTCCCTTGTTAACAATTCCCTCACCTCAGTCCCTGAGCTCCGGAGCGAGAGCCTGCAGCTATTGTCCATCTCAAGGAATAAAATTACGAGATTAGAAGAAAATGCATGGGTGACTCCGAACTTGAAATTCCTCGACATTGGTGAGCATCCGAGATGCAGTACCTCATATATTGCATTGAATCTAAATTTAATTGTTTCTTAGAGTGCTCTCCCTCTTCTTAGAGCCCCATTTCACTGTATTCACGCTTTAAATCGGCAGCTCAAATAAGAAAATTTAACTGTTCTGCAATTACAGTATATTTCTGAAACTAAAGTGTTTTGTTGCTTCCCTGAAGTTTTTGAAAGCTGCGTGCTTTTAGCGAAACCAAGTTGTTAGTTCATGATGCTGAACTTTGCTTGGCTCTTACGTTAGATGAACAGATGTAGCATGATTTTATTATTTAAAAAGTGACTGAAGTCCATGGAGTTTCATTTTTTCAGAGAATGTGGGAAATCGCTCTTTTGTTTAGCCGAGGGACAATAAACTTGCTAGATCTCATTAAAAGCTACGCAAATCTACCTTGTTCACAGGATGTCATACAACGTTTCGCTTTTCAGTTTAATCGCTAAGGTGTTGCGGAAGGTGTTGCCTTATTTCCTGGCGCAATGACGGCTTTGTTATGTAATTGTATATATGATACAATATTAACTATTGTGATGTATACGTGGTATATATTATGCAATAGATCCCAGACAGGAATGTAGTCGAGTATCGCCGAGAGCAAACGCCTCTCTCTTGCAACTCAAGGAAGATTCATTAAAGCTGTTCTCATCATTAGCGTTCTATTTATCTCAAAAATATTTTCGTCTCTATTCAAGGCGACAATCCCTTGTCGGGGATCCCATCTGCAGTGATCATGAGCTTGGAGAAACTAGAGAAATTTTGGTGTTCAGGGTGCAATCTAGGACCTACCATATCAACCGGGGTGTTGCAATTCCAAAGTGAGGCCTTGAAGATGGTGTCGCTTTGGAGCAACGGTATCTCGGGACTGGAACCGAAGGCCATTACAGGTGATTATTCATTTTATTATTTATTAGAAGAAAGGAAGAATAATTACGAAAACATCTGTCAAAGAGAACAGCAAAGTAGAAACGTATAAGGAGAGGTACAAGTTGGTTGGAGACATGCATATGAATGTCCTCATCCGTACCTGCTTACGTACCTCTGAGCAGTTGTGGTCCAGACATACACATCGGTTCGTTGCAGACGCAGATGTCCGGGTTCCCAATACAGTACTTGAAGTAGGCATACGAAGCGTTTATCAGACATTCCAACTCGAATGGGCGCACCGGACCTTAGGTGAAGGTTTCTTCTTTTCCCTGCATTCTTCTCATCGTGGTACTTGTAAAGTAGTATTTGGTAAAGTGTAATTATTATGTTTCAATGACAATAAGTTATTCAGAATAATTTTACATGCTGAGGTTTTCCACTATGACAGATGAATGTAAACTGACTGGTTAAGAGATCTCACTTGCGGACGAATGAGTAGCCAACTTTTAATGAAATTGACAGATTGTATTTGCAATGGTCTGGACTTGCTCCACGGTGGGCAAAAAAATATTCGGTTATCTTTAACGTTTCACAGCGTAGTTTCACGAGTTTTTAACGGTACCTTTTTAACAAAGGTATTTTACGACATACGTTTCTACCTCACTGTACATTTTCGCGTTGCTGTGAGGGAGGGTGGAGTGTAGAATCCCAAGTACCTCGTATGTCTCTCGTAGCGCTTTCGGAACCACGTTCATTTTGTCGCCAATGCATCAATATCCACCTTTCATGCATAAGAATTTCAATATGTTCAATATATCTGTGTAGAATGTTGCATATTTAAATTAATCCAGGAGCACCATGTTTTATCATGCCTCAGTTTCTCTGGCATGCAAATTAAAAGGGCAAGGGGTACTTTAAGATTAGTGTAATAAACTAATGGAAGAACATGTATGAAGAGATGATGGACTGAGGGTTTTAAATGCCCACTAGCAGGTAGCCCTAAATACATATAGGCAATGAGAAACAATTCGTTATTGTCAATTTTGGCATTGTGATCTGGAAAATTAAAGAATGAAGCAATGAACACTACTCGCGAGTAAATAGTATTTGCACTTTGGTATTAATAGAGTTGTGCAATGTAATTGCTGTCACCAGTTCAGGAAAAAAAAACTTTGTTCAGATAAATAAAACAACAAATGGACGTTTTTGCCTACGAAAAATTCATTTCACCGTCCTCGTACGTTGCTGTGAAAAAATGTCAATAAACTTTTAAAGTTAATCCTAGGGGATATTGGAAATTTCTTTTGAGATTTCGTTCTTCCATTTCAGGGATCAAAGCTAACACAGAGGTCCATCTTACGAGGAACAAAATTGCGACATTGAACGAGGAGACCTTCCGACCCATCTTGGAAATCATGCCCGTTGGAATGGGATTTCTCGATCTGAAGGGTGAGTTTCATTACTTCCCATTTGACTGGACCGAACTCTCCTTTAATTATTCCTAATTTCTCTTATTAATAAACTCTTGAACCAACTTCTATTCCAGACAATCCCATTCAGTGCGATTGCACTCTGACATGGCTGGCAAGTGATCCCCAGTTGCTAAGAAAAGCTATAGGGACATGTGTGAATGGAATTGACTTGGGGCACCAGGATTTGGCGGAATCATTGAAAATATGTCGCCCATGTCCTTATAGATGTGTCGGTGCTGAAGACATTCCTCGCTGCCAACATGGGACCATAACCATTTCAACCGTGGGGAACTGTCAGCCTAAAGAATTATGCTGTGAGTTTAAACTACTAATTGGGCGTTTACAGCGGCTGTTACTGTTAAAAAGCCAATATTCAAGAATTAAAAAAAAAACTATCTATTTGGTCTCCAGTCTTCTGCATGATGAGTACTGGGTGACTGGAATGTGTTGCTGAATGCGCCTTTACCACGTTGCTCTCTTGTCTCCAAGTCAAGAGTGGAATTTAGAGATGGGGATTATCCCCATTTGGTTTCATTGCAAAATATACTTCTTTGATATAGTACCCCCTGTAGGAAAACAACTGATTTTATCGAGAGGGTGGGCTGGTACAGGAAATGTAAGTTTTTCCATGAATTAGCTTTAGGTAATTTTTCGTAATTTGTTGGCCTTTGTGACACTGTAATAACTTTCATAATGAATCTAATAAAAAAAATCATTGAACTCAATACATCTCGAATGTAGTTGGACTTAGCGTTCGTCAGTCAATCAGGATCAAGGCTATATATTAGTGGACGCACGAACATAGGCATTTATTACTCTCATTTGTGCACTAGGCAAGCCAGTCACAAGAACGAGTATGCCAAATGCAAATGTGATGGGATCAGTTGGAATGGTGGTGACTTCGTTGGGAATTATTTCCATCGTGGTTTTCATCGTGAGCTCTATCTCCTACTATCGAATCAGGAAAACACGAGTGAGCAATCCGCATCGAATGGAAATGCATCACTTTTTTCATTCATTGCTTATCTAGAATTCCTTTTATTCATTAAACTTTAAGACTCAGAACCTTGTCCTGATAAGGAATGAGTCAGAGCGGTTTCGAAGGGGACAACCTGAGAACATCAATCCTTCTTTGGGGCTCAGCGAACAAGCAGATCTCCTGCCCTATTACGAGGACTGGGAGTTCCCACCAGAGAAGCTAAGACTGGGTATGACCTCCGTCCCGAATCTGGTAAAACCATCCAGAAAGATGAAACGATTTTGATGAATGAATCAATTTTAACAGGAGAATTTCTTGGTCGGGGTACATTTGGGGTTGTGATCAAGGCCGTAGCTGTCGGGATCATTCCTTCGGAACCGGAAACAATTGTTGCCGTGAAAAAGAGTAAATCTCACTCCGACGTGGCGCAGTACAAGACGCTGATGATGGAACTGAAGATCATGAGTCACCTTGGAAAACATCTGAACGTGGTGAATCTTCTTGGAGCCTGTACAAAAGAAATGGCCAGTGGTAAGTTTATTTTGAATTTTGCAGCTGAAGTAAGCATGAAGCAGCGACATTTCCATTTTTTAAGTATGTTCTTTCATTGTCATATATGCCGATTTGCCTTTTTCCCTGTTTATCCCTCCTTTCCTATCCCTTACCCCCATTCTACCCTATGCATTCATAGTCTGTGACTTTTACTATTTGCTCTCATTACAGTTTCATGAAATATTATTCCTACAAAGTAGAGTTTCCCGGGGATATTAAATTGCCACATGGAATGGGTGACAATAAGAGGTGGAATATTACAAAGCCCCAGAATGTTGGTTTTCCAGTTAAAATCATCTTGACATTTCATTGATTTCCGCGCGTCCTACTTCATATATACCCATTACGTTCACCATGAACATGAATCGGCTTTTTTGCAGGAGATATGATGATGATTGTAGAGTATTGTCCACATGGGAGTCTCGAGAAATTTCTTAGGAGAAACAAATCGTACTTCAAGAACGAGTTTGGCCCACACACCAGATCAAGAAAATCCAAGATTTGGAGACTGAGTCGTCAAAAGGATGATAACTGTCTTCCTGATATTGCACTTGCCACTATAAAACGTGAGCAATTTTTTTTTGTTCCTTCTATTGCAACCGCTCAAAGATTCGTTGTAGATACCACCTAATAAAACAGCGAATGGAATCGAAAATATGTGATGTTTTCCATGGTGACAGTCATGGAAACAGTGAATGCCAGGTAGATTCTGTTGCTTTTGAGACAATTCTTGATATATTGTTCATTTGGTCTAGTATCTCCACCATATGCCGTACTTATATTTCAACTTCCAATCAAGCTTCATTTCGCAGCTTAACCTTTCCTGTGTGAAATGTTTTTTTATTTTACCGGAATCTTCTGAACCTGTGCATATTTGATCTTTGTGTGCTTCTGGTCCTCTCGGATGCCAAGAAAATCCTAAAGCCGATCGACATCACATGTTTCACATTGGGAATGAGGGAATTATTTCGATGTGATATACCCAATCGTACATGTTGAGCTCTGGTAGAGACTGAAGTGATACTGAAATATACTTTATTTACTGCCAGAAAGTGATTTATTTCATTGCGTAACGTTCAACCATTAGCACTTCCCTAATCCGGGCTCCAATATATTACTCCTCAAGTTCGCCATGACAGAATTAGTTAAAATGGCAAATTGAAACAAACGAAACCATACATTTTCTCAATGTCAAAGTTGTCATCCATTTTCATTCAAAGAATGAATCCCTATTGCCATGTTTCAAACTGGTTGAAAGCAAGTGCTGTTGTCAGAAAAATTACTGTATTTCGACAATTATGTTGCTGCAAAGTGGTATTTTTGCGTTACTGATACCATAGGAAATATGATGATATTGCACGTTTCTTTCCATTCACCTTCAGCATTTTTGGGGTTAATTTTAATGAGCACAACTGGTCTTTCCTCATGTCTAAAACTATATTACACTATTATTTTTACAAAACCATTCCCTCGAAGTGTAATGCTGCCACTGAAAAGTTGTGCTCTAAATATTCTTTGAAACGAAGCAAAAGGTATTAGGGAGATGTTGAATTCCAAAAGGAAAACTAATAAACTTGGAAGGGAAAACTGAACATCTTGGCCTCGGCAAAAATTTCGTCTTGGCCATTTGTGCCAGTGTGTATTCATAGGAACCAAGAAAGAACTCGTAATATATATGTGGAGGGGAATAAGAGGGCAAAACGTAACATTCTGTATTAGTGTGTTTAGCCTTTTTTGGAAAAACACATTTCAACGATATCATTCGATATATTTCAAAATACCTGCGAGTAAGGTTTTGCTGAAGCGGAAAGTATCGGTGGTAACCCCCCCCCCTAAACAGAATAGGTCTTCCTTCAATTGTCATATTTTTCGAGTGGGAATCAGTGGAATTCTTGAACTATATTCATTTATGACATCGATCAGTGTTTGCGATTCTTTCACTGATATTATGTGTGCAACCTTGTTTCTCGCATATTAAATATTACCATCGTTCAAAGGAGATAGTCATGCATGTTCTTTCAGATGGAGAGAATGACTCCGGAAATGAAATTTTAGCTGCCAACAAGCAACAAGTGCACTCACAAGGCAAGGTTCTACCCAGGACCTTTAGTACCAGCGATCTGGTTTCTTGGGCCTATCAGATATCTCAAGGCATGGAGTACTTGGTGTCCCAAAAGGTCTGATATTTCTAACGCAAGTAATTGCCATGATATGCCTAAGGAGTTGGGAAAGTACATTTCTGAATTTGGTTTACCTATTCTTAGGATAATCAGCATTATATTATCTCAATGAACAAGAGTTGACACGATTAACCTTTATTGAACTATCCCGAACACTACTGCCTCTGCTCTAAGTCATCCCATGTGCAATCTTCAAGTGACAAACATAATTTTCTCCGTAACGTAAGGTCTGGAATAAAATTATTCTGTATAACGGTTCCACATGCCCACGCATACTTTTCCACTGCAATCCGAGAGTTTTGTTTCGATATATTGTGAAACGACGGAAGTGACCAAAAACAAAGTTGAAAAGCAATCTTGAAAAAAGGAAACCTAGCAAAGAAGACAAACCGTTACAATCTGTTACAGGTCGTCCATCGAGATCTGGCGACAAGGAACATACTGCTGGCATATAAAAACATCGTCAAAATATGCGACTTTGGCCTTGCCAGAGATATGAATACAGACGACCAGTATCTCAAGAAAGGCGAAGTGAGTTTCTTAAACTAGCATTTTCGAGTTTTTCTTGAACTGCTTGGAATTTTGGAGGTCACCTGCGTATGAATGTGCCAGGGTCTATTGCCATACAAGTGGATGGCTTTGGAGTCCATAATCCATCACAAAGTGTATACAAGCAAATCAGACGTTTGGTCATATGGAGTTATTCTGTGGGAAATGTTTAGCCTCGGAATGACTCCATACCCAGGCATGAAAGGTGAAGAGCTCATCAGGCGACTGCAAGCCGGATATCGCATGGAGGCTCCTGATTTCGCGAACGAGCAAATGTGAGACCACTGTACTCACCATTTGACATGAGCAAAAATATTTTGAATTGAACTTTTTCAATCGCATTTTTCTTTGTTCTTGCTATGCAGCTACCAAATCATGAGGAAGTGCTGGGATGTGAATCCCAAGGATCGGCCAACATTCTCTGTTTTGAGTGCATGGTTCGGTGTCATGTTGCCAGATATTGAGCGCCGTGTAAGTTGTTTTTCCGTACTCAAACTCGTCAAAGGTCCAAACTCGGATTTCATTAATTGAGTGGCCATGTCCTCTGCAGCGCCTTTTTGACATGAACAAGCCATTTGAAGAGATGAACGCTGAGTTCTTCGAGGAAAACAAAGGCTATCTGCGAATGATGAGGTCAGAGACATTTGACGATAGATATCTTCGACCATTGAGATTTCAGAATGATTACGTGCGAAAAGTAGTTCCTCCTTGTAAAGCCAGCATTTCCAGTGAAGAATACTTGGAGATGGATGCAGACTACCTTCCAATGGTAGCTTCCGGATCGATAGAATATGGAGTATATGTAAACGAGAAATCAAGGGAGAGAAAGGAAGATCCAGGGGCTGTTATCAACATGTCAAATGAAGAAAATGCCACATTTAAAAGGGAAATTAATAGTGCAAACGTGTCCCAAACAATTACAGCACGTGAATCGTCGATGGTTGGTGAACTACATGGCTTTCAAAGTGAACAGGAAGAAAGCAATGACGAGTCCAGACTGCCTGATGATTATTATTTGGATATGACTTCATCTGTACCGAGCACCGCCTCCTAGGCAAGGACAATCAGAACTGTCGTGCATTGTGCTCTTAAGTGGAATTCGTACAAAATGTGCTTGTGATCTCAGAGCAAACGTTTGTACCTCACCCTCAAAAGACCTGGGTGGCACGTATCAGTCCCAAATCCTTTTGCTTTTATTATTTGTGGTTTGAGAAGGGTAATGAAGCTCCATTCTGTGACTGATGTGAATAACCTGGCAAAATGCATGCTTTTCTTTCAGCTCTTTCTTTCAAGTAAAATATGTTCCAAATCTATTTCTCGTGAATTGAAGACACGAAAATGTTTCAATTGTCAATTCCCATTAAATGCATTTAATGGGAATTGAGAAAGGCATTCGAATGTTCCTCACGTTGTATCGAGGATTCCCAATATTTTATTTTATCCTACTATCAAACGACAACCCCATGGACATCCCGCTTGCTTCCCATCGCGACGCATCTCACTTCGAACTATTTTTGGTTCGAATCCTCCCTGAGATCATACCCTGAAGGCACTCTAATATCATACAATGGACTGCATTAATAACAACGTATCCAAGTTTACTTAAGAAACTACCCCATGGTCAAGAGAATGAGGACAACCTCCGCAAGACCTTTGTATGGCCCATAGCGGTATTTAGCAAAAGTCCAAAGGAATTCCTGATATTTTTTTCTTACTGGCGGTCTTGCATTAGGGCCCCTGGGATGGCCCAATCCCCTTCCCGTTCATTATATCGATATTGGATATTCTTTGGATCCATTCTTGGAAGTTTCCTGCATTGGGATGGGGGTTGGGTGGAGGACGTCCTACTAAAGACATCATGAAAGATGCTGCGCATATGGCATGGAATGAAATTATGTTGCGTAGAGGTCGATGATGAAACGCAACACGAGAAAAAAAGCCAAAGTACACTAGTGGTAATAAATGTCATGCCTCATTGTGTAAAATATGTCGAGGCCGTTTCGTATCCAATTACCTGACGATACTGAGACGTATACTCATACTTTCCAGTATTGTTAGCACTAAACGGATATTCTTCCAATATCAATGGAAACAATCAAGGCTTTCACATCATCGTCTCATCCAAACATAGTTTTACATGCCGATATTTCATATACGAGGTCCAGTCAAAAAGTTCGCAGAATTGCTGCGTTACATGGGACTGTTAGCTTATGATGTGAATCCCCTTCAAAGTAGTCTCCTTTCGCATCTGCACAGCGTTGCCAACGACTGTGTAGCTCATTCAAGCAACCTTGGAAATCTTTAGCTGCAATGCCTTTCAGTTTATTTGTCACCTTTTTTATTCTTAATGTATTCAATGTCATCATGACGATTTAATTTCAAAGCATATTTCAATTTCGAGAATAAAAAGTAGTCACATGGTGCCATGTCAGGTGAAAAAAGAAGGGTGTCTGAGCACAGGGATCTGAGGGTGGGCTAGGACTCGTTGGACTGACAGTACCGCATGAACCAGTGCAATATCATGAAGGAGGCACCAGCCTCCACGCTGCCACTTTTCAGGGCAGCTGCCGCAGCGGCAAATAACATCTCGTTGTCTTCTCAAAACTTCCACGTAAAAATGTTGGGTCGCAGTGTGACCTTGAGGTACAAATTCTGAATGTACGATCTCATTTTGGTCCTTAAAAAATAAAAACTAGGAGCATGACCGTGACTTTTGATATGATGCGAGATTTCTTGCTTCGCGGGCGAGTAGGGGCCTTTCAAAAATTGCTTAAGCCATTTAAAAACAGCTGTCTTTCGTATTGCATCCTTTGAATGAGGCTGTTGCAAAGTTGCAAGAGTTTCAGAAGGTGATTTTACTAATTTAGCATGAAATGTTATTTTATATGTTGTTCCTTTTCCGTGTTGACTTGCTGCATGCCAAACTAGTAATAACTGCTTTTGATTGAGCTGGTATTAGGCTAAAACCAATAACTTATTGTGCGCAGGCCTTTCGGGAGGGAATAAGGATGGATCAAGGTCAATTTCAGGGCAAAACGCGCATTCGAATACCTTAATTTCAATAAAATCATTCCGCGACCTTTTCATGAGACCTCGTATTCTGTTGAGCGAGTATTAAGTTCCCGGATGGCTTTTCCTATAACCATTGGGCAATTTTCTTGTTTCTGTCACAACGCCAACTGGACAGAGAAGCACCGATAGTTATAACAACATTTCCAACGCACTACGAATGCGATTGGGAGACAATCTCAATAAACAAATGTTGCAAACCGTTTTACGAATATGTCTAACTAGTTCGAAGCGCGGTATTAAGAGAATATTCACATTTTCATTTATGAATGTTCAGGACTGACATCTGTGCAGATAGGAATGAGACTTTCTTGTCATCGTACAATATGATTTATTGAAAATGTATGAATATTTATAAATTGACTGTGGAAAGAGTCAACAATATTCATTCATTATTCATTAAAATGCGTTTCATATGAATCTAATCAGTTTAGTATGCAAAAACGTCACAATTTTAGTCAGATATGCTTGCCTAAAAACTTTTTTTCGCGATATAAACTTGAAATTAGGTTCGATGCAAGAAGATTTGGCTCCCGAGCTCTCAGTAACTAACTGATCAACAATGAAGTTTTAGCAGGAGGGATCTTCTCCGATCCCTTCAAAAACCACGGGACCGGACAACTAATGACTGATGAATGACAGGCATGATGCCCGTGGATTACTATGTATCAATAATACTCCCATCATTTTTGTGTGCACGGATTCGACAAGCGTTAGTCGAGGCAGGATGTGTACGAGAGGGACGTCTCGATAGGAAAAGAGGGTGTGGATGGTGCAGATCTCATTCACACGTGGGAGCTGGAAGTGAGAATGCGACAACGGAAGCGCCTTGCTATTCCGATGATGATAAATGAAAGACAGATTTATTACTCGTGGAAGATGTCATCCTAGGAATGTTTGACATGCATCTGTTTTTTTTTCCTCGCAGTTCTCCAAGACCCTGATAAGTATCGCGTGCAACAAAGCGTCAAAAGGGGTTTCTACTTTTTCTCGGTATGTCGATGCTGGTGACCTTGCAGGATTTTATCTCTTATTTGAGTTTCCCATCCAATTTCTATCCAGGAGGCATTACCTATAATAACCTATATTCTCAGACGTAATTGTACATCGTAGGCCTAATTTCAATTAAGGGGAAAAGATGTGCCCATGCATTTGCTTTGGATTAATGTCCTCTAATTGAATGCTTAATATGCACATGCTGGAGGAGTGGCTCTCATGAAATTCGTGTTTGACAGTTATACGATCCGTTTCTCGGCTATGGCGTTGATTTATGAAATTTCTGTCTCTTGAAGTTACCATAACTCACAACTTCTCTGCGAATATGGGAGCCTCTCCTACTCGAAATCCATTCTCCATCTTCGACGTCACTTTGTCCGTGATTGGATGAATAAGATTGGAGTCCATTGGTTTTCATGCGCACGTTATAGGAGCATTGACTTCAAAATATGAGGGTGGATCAGAAAGTAAGGGGGAAACGATGGTATTGACATCAACTTCAGAAATTATTGCGCAATATTTGGTCTGCACATAGTACTGTAGTTCACGAAAGTTCTACCAGGGTGTCATTTTGCTGTTGCGGCGATCACGTGACAGACAGCGAGTGGAAATGGCCGCCATTATTTAAATTTATACGCATGAAGGAGTACTTTCTGTTTCTTGTGGGGAAAACAGTTCAAACCTTCAGACATTCACCGCCCCCTTATTAAAGTTTACTGTGATCTAGCGCTCTCCACGAAAAAAGCGCACAAGGGGTCCAAAAAGTCATTATCCTCTTTCTGCCCAATCTACATTAGGATGGATTTATATGTAGGAATGTCAGGTTCTTCCCCATCCATTATACATTCCATATCTTCCACCAGGTGATTCTCATCTATTCAGGCCATTGAAACTTGAACGAGGAGGTTGACTTTTCAGAACCTACGTTGACCCTCAAATAGCCGTCACCACTTAGCTCGTTGGACAGGACTCTGCTGTCTATGCAACGGGAATTTGACAAGCTTCCATAGCGCTGGGACAAATGCCTTAATATGTTTAATTCGCATGTGACACTAATAATTACTTTTATCCTGGTAAATATTTTTCAATAATTATGCATATCCAACAAATTACAGCCTTGTTCACCTCACTTTCTGATCCACCCGCCCATTATCACAAGTTATTATTTCTCAAATATTGAAATACCCAGATCTAACTTCAGCCACACACCAACTTTTATTTTGTCATGTTTCAAATGTAACCCTATTTCGCCTTCTTCCGAGGATTTTTTTTTGTGTCCTTGATTTTTCCACCCAGTTTTTTTTTTCCAGTCTACAGGGTGGCCATAAAGTCTGGAAATAGAGGATATATTGAGATACTATTTTCTATCCGTTGCAGATAACCAATTTACTAAATCTATTTCATCAGCACTTCAAACGTAGCTTTCAAATCTGCAGTGATTCAACGGGAGAACATGTTGAAAATTTATTTTAGTTTATTGGTATATTATCTTAATTATCCATGATACGATCCTATGGTTACAGGCTTCATGGCTGCCTTGTAGTTTTTCTTTTCCTGAAAAAATTGTGTTTTTTTTGCGATTTGGTAGTCTGGTATTCAGGCATTTTTTTCCGCCGTGCTCTTAGGTCTGCCCACGAAGAAATGCGGTGTTCATGTGTTGCTAAAGCTGCCATAGTGACAAAGAATCAGCATTCACATTTTCATATTTTTAATGCAGAAAACATTCGTACAATGAGTTCTATTAACTGCGAAAAACACTAAAACTTCGTATTGTTGATAGATCCATGGGTCCAGCATGGAAATCTACACTTCCCCTCCTGCGCTCACTGGCGGACCGAACCGCTCGGCGATGAATCCCGAACAGCTTGAAGCCTTCGAACGTCTAAAAAGTCCCGGTCTTGGGGTGATCGTTGGAGCAGCTGGGACCGGGAAGACGTTCGTCCTTCAGGAGAAAGTAAGAAGCATCGTGGAAGGCTGGTTCCGGTTTAATTCTTCACTGAACCGAATCACGGAGAAGATCCTCGTTGTCTGCAACAGTCCAGGCCTTTGCCTACACCTACAGACGAATCTCCCCAATCTTTTACTGCAAGGAGCTATGACCATGATTCGTAAACAGGAATATTCAGGATTCGAAGAGAGAGTGCGAAGGT